CTGATGGTGGAACATCTTTCTACAGATGATGAGCAGAGCAAAGAGGAAAAATCTGGCAGACAGGAGATAGTTCAACATCTGCAGGACGAGGAAACCACATGTGCACAAAATGACATAAAACAACCTAAAGCAGACACAAGACGACACAAAATGTAAGAAGGGAGACAAAAAAATTACAAAGCTGAGACAAAATGATCCCAAAGACACAGCTGTCCCAGTGAGACACAGAAGAAACAAAATAGAGACTTTTTCATTTTTAACTTTCATTTTGGCTTTTTTTCTGAAAATAAAAAAACTGCTGAACTGATGCTGGTGGTCCTCACAGACACGGTAAAGCTGTATGAGGCGTCTTCACCTGCTAACACAGAAACCTGACCCTCACACACACACACACACACACACACACACACACACACACACACTATCCTGACATTTAGGCCGATATATAAACCCGTCAGACTCTCAGCCTCAACATTCCTGCAGTGCAATACTGAAGTACTGTAATAGTCACCTGTCCTACCTGAGCTCACCTGTCCTACCTGCACCGATCAGGGACCCGTCTGACCTCACAGCACCATGTTCACCAGGTATGTACAACAACACAACAACACCTGCAGCAGGGAGGAGACGATGATGGAAACACAACTTTATATGACATGTAGGATGTGTGTTTGTGTTATTGTGTGTGATGGTGTGTGAGTCCTCAGGTGTGTTCAGGAGTCAGATTTGATTTGAATTGTACTATTTTACGTTGTTAGTAGTATTAAATTAAATAATGACATCAGAGGTACGCCGTCCGACCCTCAGCTGATCTAAAGCTCAATACTTCTGATTGGCTTTTTAAAATCTTCACATCAGCTTATGTAGATGTTTTCTGTTTGATCGAATAATTTGATTTGATTGGACTGATCAAATAAAATCAATAAAAATCAGTAAGTCTCCTGATTTGACTTCTGATTGGCTGAAAAACCTGTTCAGTCCTTCAAGTCTGAATGTTGGGTAAAATGTCAGATTGAGCGGATTTCAGTTACTTTATATGGAGGTTTTCTACTCAAACTGATTGTTCTGACTGATCACTTGGATCAATCAGAACAATCAAACAAACGGACAGAATCAGGTTCAGATGCTGCTGATTGGCTGAAACCTTAAAATAATCAAATATTTCAGATTTATTCTTTAAAATCCTGATTTAAAAAATATTCTCATGTGAAAATGTAGTTTTAAAAAAAAGAAGTTGGGCAGAAGTTTAGACTCAAACCGAGGCTGATGGTTCTGATTGATCTGATCAGTTTGTATCGGAGGCTACAAGCTGTTCTTTCAGATCAAACTCCACATGTTCAGCTGCTGCTTTATATCATTTACAGTTTATTTCTAGTATGTATGTATATATGATATTTAAAAGAGAAATAAATGAAGATGCTGAGATTGATTCACTTGCATCAAAAATTGAAACAGTGTTTCACCTGAGGGCTGCAGGTGTCTCGGTGGTTAGCACCGTTAGCGCCTCACAGCTAGAAGGTCGCCGGTTGGCGTCCCGGTGAGGACACCCGGGATCTTCCTGCGTGGAGTCTCCATGTTCTCCCCGTGCAGCGTGGGTTCTCTCCGGGTTCTCCGGCTTCCTCCCACAGTCCAGAAACATGCTGAGGTTAATTGGTGATTGTAAATTGTCCGTAGGTGTGAATGTGAGTGTGCTTGGTTGTCTGTCTCTAAGTGTAGCCCTGTGATAGACTGGTTACCTGTCCAGGTGAACCTGCCTTCACCCTGAGTCAGCTGGGATAGGCTCCGCCCCCCCATGACCCTGGTGAGGATTAAGGTGTAGAGATGATGGATGGACGGATAAATTAAGCAATGAGCCAATCGGAGGCTGAAGTTTGTGTTTTTGTTGCAGGGACGTTGTTCTTCTGTTCTCTCTGTTTGTTCTGCTGGTGGAAGGAGACCTCGACTCCAACGGTGAGTTTAAAGAATAAAAGTCTGTGACGAACTGAGAGAGAAGCTGATTAATGAAGCTGTGTGATGATTACAGATGCTGGAATACAAGCCATGTCCACAGGTAACTCACCTGTCTGCACTCACGTCACCTTTTCAATGTTGTTTTACATCAGACATGTAAATTGTTTTTGTAATGTAATTGATATGTTTGTGTATTTCAAAAATACAGAAATATTTGTCCAAAATGTTATTAAAAACCTTCAGTTACAGACTGTGATGGTAGAAACATATTTTACACATAGTCTCAGTGTTTCTGTGATTTTATTGCTGTTTTGTGTATTTCTATCATAAAAGAAGATTAGATGGAAAAATGACACAAATTTCTACCTTTTTTTTAACGGTCTGCCTCCTACCTGTCTCACCTGCCAGATAAAGATTCGACGTCTGATGAAGCTCCTACAGGTGAGTCTCAGGTGACGTCATCAGATGCAGCTTCAACTTTGGACATGATTTTAACATGTGATTGTGTTGCAGAGAGCATGAACGCTGTTTCTCCTGATCAACCTGGTGAGAAACGCTCAGACTCACATCATATATTCACATTTATATTTATACTTATATTTGCTGTTACCTGTGACTTACCTGCGGTCACATGGTCTGTCATGGTAAACAGTCTCTCAGTGATCTTTAACCATGACTGAGCCTGAAAAGTGATCAATGTTAAGCCGTCATGGGATGTTACCTGGTTACCATGGCAGCTGATAACTGATAGTTCACGTGTTCATAAATGTGGTTCATATGAATAACTGTATAATTCTAATGACTGTTTCCAGACGAACCTCAGTATTACGGAGCAGCAGCAGGTAAGAACACCTGAACATCACCGTCATGATCACATGACCACATTGCTGTCAGCTGGTAGGTCACATCTGATGCTGTACATTAGCTGTTCATGTGTTCACCTGTTCATGTGTTCACCTGTCCATGCGTTCACCTGT